CTGCGATTACAGCAAAGCCCACCCAAGGATGTAATAGCATTTCCAGGAAGTGCCGACAAGCAGAATGCACAATAGGATGAAAGACTAGACACTCGCAAACAGCCCTTGGGTTACCTCAAAACGAAGGTAACAAAAATTCTGCCCATCACCCATGAGGATTTTCCTGACATTCTCTCCCCTCTCTGGTAATTTTCAAGTGCAATTTCTTCTCTCATTAACTGAGGGGAAATGGTCAGGGGCAAAACAACAACAAAACACAGAATAAATCCTGGCACAGCACTAAGTAGATCCATTTTAAATCCAAGCCACCTTGGAGGGTTTTTTGTTTGTTTTTTTAAAGATACACTTGCCTCTTCTGACACCTTGTGGAGTTCCTGATGCCGCCAACTTCACTGCAGGAGAGTCAGATGAGAAAGCATTTGTCAAATTGAAGGAGGCCACTCCAGGTACAGGTGGCCCAGATCAACTTTCCTGAGACCTGTTGCCCAGAGCCTGGTTCTGCCTTATCTGTGTTTGGCAGTCCAGACAGCACTGAGTGCAAATAAATAGCTCTTCACCTTTAAGGCAGTTTGTGGCCTTTTTCTTCTAAAACAGGTGGCTCCACCAGAGGGTAGGATTTGAACCCAGGTCTCCCAGAACTGTTAAAGCAGCAGCACCTGCATTTTGGCATTCCCTGCCTATTGAGCTCAAGCAGGCACCTTCCCCATAGTCTTTTCATTGTCTGATAAAAACATTCTTGTTCAAACAAGCCTACCCAAATGCTTTGAAAGTGTAGGTAATTTTAATATGTTTTTAATATTTTGTTTTTTTAATGTTTTTAAAGTATGGTTGTGATTTTTCTCAGTTTATTGTGTTACCTTTTTGTAAAGCGCTTTGAGAGGTTTGTTTTTTTTTACAATCAAGTGAGGCATAAATTTTATGAAAATTTCTCATAAAGTGGGTTGGCCTTTGACATGGGACCCCATCCCATTCCAAGTTAGGTTAATCAGATAGGCTGGGGCAAAGTCACAGAAACTCTCCGTCTCCTTTTTGTCCAGTTCTCCACTCTTCAAAATCAGTTTGCATTTAAAAATAAACTTCCTTGTGAAAATCCATCAGTATTTTAGTGTCAATTTTTCATAAGATACACATTTTGGCATGCTATTTTCACTAATTTATGCCTTTTATTGGACACTTTACCCTAATAAATATGCTTTTGTACATATTACTTTGCCGGAAAACTTGGTTGCAAGATTTGGACTCGTGTGGATTTTGAAAGGTGTGTCAGAAAGTACAAATTGCCTTTAAATGCAAACCAAATCTATTTTCTCCCCCACCCCTGCTCAGGGGCATGGGGGGGGGGCGGTTTGCACCAGGTGTCACCCTGAGGGGGGTGCCAATATGGCGGGTGGCCGAGGGCTACACTCACTGTAGGGTGGCCGAGTGCTGCCCGTATTGGTGCCACGCGTGTGCTGTCCGTATCAGCGGCACTGGGCAGTCTGCCCCGCCCCTGTGGCCAGTTTGCCCTGCCCCTCGACACCCCACACTGGGTGCCGGAGAGCCTTCCTTCGCCACTGCCCCTACTTTGACTCACCCTAAGCAGGTTGCTGCATGCACTAGCAGGAGAAAGCCTCTTCCACCTAAGGAGGTGGAGTTGTGGGCTTCACGGCCTCTCCACGTGTGTGGCGGGTGGAGGCCAGCCCTGCGTGATTGGGGGGATTCCCAATTGGTTGGCTTGGGGTGTGTGGCCTGCCCTATTAAAGCAGGACACGGCTGGGAATCTCCCTCTTTGCCGCCTGTCAGCTGTTCCGGCTTTTTCCTCACCCTCCTGCCCTATAAGGTTTTCGTTTCTTGACCTTGCTATGGACCTTGGTTGGTCGCCGCTGAAGGGCCTGGTAGGAATTTTTTCACTTGGCAAATTGGCACCAGCCACTTGGTTTTCGCCTACCTCATAGCAAATCATCACAACTTTCTGGGTATTGGCGGTTAGGCATTGGTATTTATTCTGTAGATGGAAGAGGGGAGGTAGCGCCATCACCTGCCCCGCATATTGAAGGGTAGTCCGTTAAAGGATTCCAGGAGGAGTGGCCCTGTCCGAAGCCTAAGGAGGTTAGGGCCCAAGGCACGCCCCCTAGTGGTGACCCCAGGGGAGTTCCTAGTTGATGTGCATCAGCAGGACTCCCCCCTCCCCTTGGTGGTTAACCCTTCCCAGACTTCGAGCAGATGGGCTGGAGTTGGATATAGTCGGTTAGGACCAATGCCTAAGCCAATACCGCTCTTCACCTGTAACTAATAAAGTTGTGGCCTTTTTTAGCCCATTAACCGTAATAATTGTGTCATGTGTCATTATTTCCACCTGGGGGGGGGGTCGGGAACTCTCCACGCCAAGGCTGGCAGTGACACAACTGTCATACTCAGTACACTGCATGGTCGAAAGGTGACTGTGAAGAGGGGTTGGACACCATGGCAAGAGGACTTTGCCACAGGGTGGGAAGGGATAATTTGTGAGAATGGAGTTGAGACCCTCCTCCTCACCCCCTGCCCTCTCCAACCTCTGATTTCACTCTCACTGGCTCTCTCCAGGGAATGTTGTGGCTGCCGGGAATTTAGATGTACTCTCCACAGACAGCAAGCAATTTACCACTGGAATTATGGATGGATACGACCCTCTCTCTGCACAAAGGATGCATTTCATCAGAAAGGAGTTTTCTGCAGCATTACTGCTGGAGGAAGTTTATGGCTGTTTCCCCCAGGGATGCTGGCAAAAGACTGTCTGGGTAGTTTGGAAGAAGAAGATATATAGCCCCTTCTTTGCCTCTCCTCCTTGCAAGCTGGGTGGCTTATCCATCACAGTTTTGATCCAAGTAATCCCAAGGACTATAGCTCTGTAGATTCCCTGACAATCTCACAAAATCGTAAAATTGAGGGAACAGCAACTGGAGCTCTTCAAAACCAATTTATGCTTTGGAGCATAAAACAGTATCTGGAACGGTGCCTGTGGATGGCAGCATAGAATGTTGGGCTGCACCTGAGAGCCCTTCCAGACTTTGTGTTTTTATTGTGCATTCATGCGCTCATGATACTATTAGGGCTGTTATCCATGAGGCTTGCTTTCAACTCCATTTCCACTTGCAAACATTTCGAGGTGGGCACACCGCTTCGTTTCCAAATAGTGCATATCCCACAACTTCCTGATGAAATCCTGTATCTTTAAATACCCCAGATGTGCTTTTTGGGGTCCCACTTTCGTTGTGCTAGAGCTCGAGGATGGCAATAATCCGGTAACAGTGAGGAAGCATCACAAACCAATTAATAAAGCAGACTGATGTGCAGACAGTGTAAATGCACCACTAGTGAACTATTATTAAATCAATGACATGCTAAAGAAGATATTTGCAAACCCTACCATTCACCAGTCTAGAGGGGCCCTGAGTGATGAGCCAGAAGCACCGAGTTCAAATGTTACAGGGAGATACTAAGTGACCCGAGGCAAACGACTCCCAGTTTCAGTCATCCACCTGTAACCTGAGAGTCATACTAATGACTGGCCAACCTTACAAGGTTGTGTCAGGGTTACTAAAATTGGTTGGTAGTTCTATGCGCATGTACGCACGCACACACACACACTCCCCCCCTTAAAGAAACTTTCCCGGGAAAGCTCACAATAAAGATAAAAATACAACCATGCACCATGAAAAAAGCATATTAAAATAAAAGCGATAAAATAACAGTGCAAATCTGAATTAGTAAATAAAAGAGAAGCATGAGAACAAAACACTGAAGATGAAACTGGGAGAGAAGAAAATATAAACGCAGCTATCTTTATTCACTATTAAAAGTTTTAGTGCTTTTATCTGTGTCTTAGTGATTTTATGTGTATATTTTTTCTAAAAAAAAGTTTTGCGGATTTTAGCTGCGTCTTATGTACAGTTTTATGATTATGTACCCCATTTTAAGACAGCTCTTTGATCAAACTGTCTGATATGAATCTTCTAAATAAAATTAAATAAATATTATTATTATTATTATTATTATTATTATTATTATTAAGCTTTCCATCTGGTGTGAAAATGACACCAAAGCAGCTGATGTCAAAGAAACGACAACCCGGCTGGTGCCAGGCAAGCCACTCTAGGGAGGGCATTCTGCAATAGAGGCATCCCCACCACCAGCACCCAGAAGCATCTTTCTCCAATTGCTGCCCATCACATATGGGAGAGTACGCATTCCCAGGGAAAGGCTTCTGAAGAGGACCCCACAGCTTGGGGCAGACCCCTGTAGAGATGGGCTGGCGGACGGACCTGCCAGTTATCCTGGGCTATAGCAGGGAGTGCAAACACTTTGAATTGGTCCCAGAAATGGACCAGGATCCACCCCAGCCTTCTCTGCACCGGCAAGTTGGGTGTTCCTAGGTAGCACCCTAGCATTCTTTACTCTCCACAGTTTTTGGGCAGCTCTATGTACAATGCATTACAGTAGCCCAACTGAGAAGCTACCCCAGCATGGATGACTTAAGTTAGGGCATCTCTGTCTGGAAAGGGGTCATGGGTGATGATCCAGCAGCCCAGGATGGCAAAGAGTGGTCCGTGCCATCAAGGCCACTTGCGCCCCTCAGATGACAGAGTTGGGCCCCAAAGCGCCGTGAAATCTCAAACTTGGTTGTTTTTTTTTAGGGGGAGCGCAACTCCATCCAGAACACAAATAACCTGTGCACTTTGTGTATGTGTGTGTATAGTTCTGCTACTGAACTCCCACTGACTTCTATGGGAATTTCCCTCTAGAGAACCAAGCCTTGGAATGTTGCAGTTCAGCCTTTACCAACCTAGCACCTTCCATGTGTTTGGAACTCCAGCTCCCAGCTAGCACAGCTGTCGGCAAAGGCTGTTAGAGAAACTCGGCCTCTCTGACTCTCATTGGAACACAGGGCATAGGCAGACCGCCAGCCCATCTAACCCAAGTGTTGTCTACATGGACTGGCAGCAGCAGCACAGTTTCAGGCAGGGTTACCTGCCAGTCCTATCTGGATCTTCCATCGAGGATTGAACTTGGGTCCTTCTGCATGGAAAACAGATGCTCCACCACTGAGCTACGGCCCTTCTCTTGATGCTGCTTTTTGGGGGGCGGGGGAGCGAGGCTATTTCTCTGCTCCACCCACTAGCCTCTGCCTGTCCTGGCCTCCCTACATATACAAGGTAAGACTTTGGGAATGGCAGCATCCAAGAGGAAAACGAAGAAGTCCTTTGTGCCAAAAAGAAACGGACATTTATTTCCCTTCCCTCGTAAAAGCGTCAGAGCCCGCATTGCATCACCATAAGGAAAGGAAGTGTCCCTTACCAGAGAGTGAGTAATCGGTGTTTGTCATCCGCATGGCTGGCGTGTACGAGACGCTTGGCATGTCGTGGCCTTTCTTCTGCTTCCGTCGATACCACACGAAGAGTGCCAGCAGAACCATAATAATTAGCAGGAGGATAATAATCCCAATGATGGCTCCCACTGAATGCCTCTCCGATCCAAGAGCGGGACTAATTTTAGTATAGGGGTTTAATTCTTCCATCATGAGAGCCGCTGTTAAAAATAATTCACAATGTGCTGTTAAATTGAGTGGCAGAAACCCATTTTGCAAGGAGAGGCGTTTATCTCTCCCTCCCTCCCTCCCTCCCTCCCTCCTGGCTCTTTGGAATCTCTGGACTACAAATACTGGATGGAAACATTTGCAACACCAGCAAAATATTTTGTAACTCGCTGCCCCTATCCAAGGGTTTTTCCTCCCTACCCCGGGGCAAAAGGATGGGCAAAAATGTCAATTTTAGTTTCTCATCTTGCCAGTCCCATGCTTGGGCTCACTCCTCACTATCTGAGAGGCTGCCGAAAGAGATACTTGGGCACTCAGTTTGAAAGAAAAGGCAAAGGAGTTTGTCTCACCTTGGTCACACCTGATTCCTTTGAAGCCAGGGCTGCAGTAGCAGGTGCCCGTAACGTAGTCGCAGGTCGCGTTGTTCATGCATTCGCACAGCTGCTGGCAACCGTAACCAAATGTTCCTGGGGGGCATTCTGCAAATTCAAAAAGGGTGAAAAATTATGGGTCTATGGACCACAAGAAAGCTGTGTGTGTGTGTGTGTGTGTGTGTGTGTAACAAGGGTGAAATGGTTGGTGAGAACTTTGACAAGAAGAGACCATTTTTACATATACTGTATTTTTCAGTGTGTAAGACGCCCCCATGTATAAGATGACCCCCTTTTTTTAACCCAAAATTAAGAAAATGCACTATGCACTATCTGTGTATAAGACGACCCCTTATTTTAAACTTCAACAATTTAGGAAAAAATATAGTCTTATACACGGAAAAATACGGTATATTTTTTAATGGAGGATTTGTTAGTATAATGATTCATATACAGTGGTACCTCGCAAGACGAATGCCTCGCAAGACGAAAAACGCGCAAGACGAAAGAGTTTTCCGTTTTTTGAGTCGTTCTGCAAGACGAATTTCCCTATGGGCTTGCTTCGCAAGACGAAACGTCTTGCGAAGCCGCTAATAGCTGTGCTTCGCAAGACGAAAAAACCGCAAGACAAAGAGACTCGCGGAACGGATTAATTTCGTCTTGCGAGGCACCACTGTATCCTGCTCTTCTAACATGCATCTATTACTCAAGGCAGCTAACAGTAATGGCAATCTCCATGGTACACAAGAACAGAGGAAATTTCCTTATAACAAGCCAGACCATTGGTCCATCCAGTTCAGTATTGCCTACACTGGCTGGCAATAGCTCTCCAGGGTTTAAGGCAGGGAATCTCTTCCAGCAGGGAAGGAGCAGGAGAGGCTAGGAAGGTGGGGGGGGGGGAGTGAGGCCAAGGGGCTGCAGGTTGAACACAGCCCATAGGTTTGCCCACCTATGATTTGGGCAGAAAGACAGCAGAGCTCTTGCCATCTATTCTTCTGCATTTATTTAATTTGTTTATGAATATTTATAAACTGTAAAAACAACAGCAACCATAAAACACCATTTCATAAATATCCAGGGACCACTAAAATAAAGCAAGTTTATACTTCATTAAATTGTGCCGGTGTGCCTTGTTGCTCTGATGCTTCAGTGACAGCAGCAACAATATCCTGGGATGGTGCCAGCGCTTGGCATCATTGGGCAGCTACAGGGGTCTGCTGCTGATGCCCCCCCCCATGTTTTCTGGCCTGGCACTCCCAAGGAGCACCAGGTGTCTGGGTGTAGACACCCATAAGATTTCCCACAATGCCCCTCACCTAGTGTCAACACTGGGCAATTGTGGGAAACCTAAAGGGTGGCTGAGCACTGCTTGGACTGCTTCCACCACAGCTAAATAATTTGCCTAAGGTCCACAAACAATGGAGTCCATTAAAGGACACTTTCCCTGGAAGGGGTAGGGGCCCCAAGCCAGTCCTGACAACGAAAGTATCCGTGATTTAGCTCTGCATTCTTCCTCCCTTTTTCTCTCCTCCTGGATGCTGAAAGTTTGGTTGTCCTGTATTTCTACCAGAGGCAAAATGATTGAATATCCAGTGACATAATTTATTCAAGCAATTACCATGATGGCCTAGGACAATAAATCCAGAGGCTGCTTATAACATATTGTTGGGCAACTTTCTGTAAGAAATAGAAAGGAAGGCTGCAAAGCGGCCTGGAAACTCCTGAGACTTTGGAGAAAGAGAAGAATGGGGAGTTCTACAGGAAGTGCCAGTCAACTGTACTATTTATTCGCCCTAAACCAGCAAAGCTCCTTCAAGATGACCACCTCCTTGGTCCCATCAGACACAGGCTGCCCAGCCCAGCAGCAACACTTTCATAAAGTCCACTGGAGGAGGGCAACTCTCTCCTTCCAAAAACCATCATTAAAGCCCTGAATGTGAACATGAGACAAGGAAGCTGGCTCCAAATGACCTGTTCTAAGCTCTCAACGTTGTTATCTGTCTTAAATTGCAGGGAGAGCTGTTTTTATCATGTAAGGCCATAGTCATGTTCACACCACACATTTAAAGCACTATGATACCACTTTAAACAGCCACAGCTTCCCCCAAAGAATTCTGGGAGCTGTAGTTTGTTAAGGGTGCTGAGAGTTGGTAGGAGACCCAGGAGATGCTGGAGTAGAGGGGCCCCCTATGGCCTCATCTAGCAGGCTCTTTTTATGTTCTTGCTGATCCATGGGTGGAGTGGGGAGCCTAAAATCCATGATAGGGCAACCTACCTGCCACAAAAAGTGAGCAAAGCTTTGGAGTTCTCTAGAGCTCTTCATCAGAATGGATAAGTAAGCACTTCTCTTGGGTCTTTTAATCACTGAGGTTTTGTGCATTTTAGCACTTAGGACTATTTCATTTCCTCCTTTGTTGGATTTAGTGGTTTTTAAATAGTTTTTATTGATCTGCGCTGTGGCTTCTTGATGGTTTTATGTGGCATTGATGTCGATCATTGTGCCAGTTTTTTTTTGCTTCCGTATTGCTTGTTTTTAGCTTTGACTATATTTGCCATGCATTGATTTTTAAAATTTGTGAACTGTCCAGAGAGAGCATGGTTAATTGGGCAGTATAAAGATGCCCCAAATAAAAGAGATAGATAAATAAGAACCCTGCAGCTGCATCAGGCCAACGGGGGCCCATCTAGTCCAGCATCCTGTTCTCACAGTGGCCAACCAGATGCCCCACTGGGATGGCTGCAAGCATTATCCCCATCTGCGATTCCCAGCGACAGGCACACTGTTTCCAGTGCTGGAGGCAGAACACAGCCATCATCACTGATAGCCTTCTCCTCCATCATTTCAAAGCTATCCAAGTTGGCGGCCATCACTGCATATTTGTGGGAGCAGATGCCATCATTGAACTATGAACTATGTGAGAAAAGGACTTCCTTTTGTCTCCTGACCCTGAAGAAATAAATAAGCACAACAGGACACAGCAAAAGCTGATGTGCTATTAAAACCACCACCTATACTCTGTAAGCATCTGAAGGTGGATTCTAGGAGTTGCTGTGTGCTGCCTTAATTGGATTAGCCTCTGCTAGGAGGCAGGATCACGAGAACATAAGAAGAGCCTGCTGGATTAGGCCAGTGGCCCATCTAGTCTACTCTCTTGTTTTCACAGTAGCCACCCAAGAGAAGTCTGCAAGGAGGACCCACGTGCAAAACCATCCTCTCCTCATGTGGTTTCCAGCAGCTGGTATTCAGAAGCATTGCTGTGGGAGTGAGGAAAAAGCTATCAAATGCTGCTGGCCAAAATGGCTATGGTCTGTCTCCACATTCGGAGGCAGTAATATTGTCCCCACCTTCAAAAAGTGGGAGGTGGGAGGCTGGGGGGTGGGGAGAAGACCCAGGTAACTACCAACCGGTGAGCCTGACATCGATACAAGGAAAGTTCCTAGAACAGATAATTAAACAGTTGGTCTGAGAGCACTGAACGGGTTGGAGAACTGGGCTCAAAATGAATTTCAGTACAGTGGTACCTCCGGTTAAGAACTTAATTCGTTCCGGAGGTCAGTTCTTAACCTGAAACTGTTCTTAATCTGAGGTACCACTTTAGTTAATGGGTCCTCTTGCTGCTGACGCACGATTTCTGTTCTCATCCTGAAGCAAAGTTCTTAACCCGAGGTACTATTTCTGAGTTAGTGGAGTCTGTAACCTGAAGCATCTGTAACCTGAAGTGTCTGCAACCTGAGGTACCACTGTAGTTTTACACTTTGGCAGGAAGAACCACCAGCACATTTACAAGATGTGGGTCACCTGGCTTGCCAATAGCACATGGGAAAAGGATTGAGGGGGTCTTAGAAGACCACAAGCTGAACATGAGTCCACAGTGGGATGAAGCAGCGAAAAAAGCTAATGCTATTCTAGACTGCATCAACACAAGTATAGTGTCACATCAAGAGAAATAGAATAGTCCCCCTCTATTCTGCCATACCTGGACTACTCTGTGGAGTACTGTGTCCAGTTCTGGACACCGCAATTTAAGGAGGATATTGAGAAGCTGGAACATGTGCAGAGGAGGGCAACCAAGATGATCAAGGGTCTGGAAAGCAAGCCTTATGAGGAACTGTTGAGGAAGTTGGGTATGTTTAGCCTGGAGAAGAAGAGGGCTGGAAGATGGAGCAAGCTTGTTTCCTCTTGCTCCAGAGCGTAGGACCCAAACCAACTGATTCAAGTTAAAAGAAAGGAGATTCCAACTAAACATTAGGAAGAACTTTCTGGTGGCAAGAGCTGTTCGATAGTGGAATGGCCAATGTGAGATCAGGGTGCTGGACCAGATGAGCTACTGGCTCTTCTTATGTTCTTAAAAAGGTTCCCCACTGCTGCTGTAGCAGAAAGTGGAAGGGTGCTTTGCAATTAGCTGCAACAGCTGCCTCCCACAACTTGAAACAGAGCGTAGAATCATAGAATCATAGAATCATAGAGTTGGAAGAGACCGCAAGGGCCATCGAGTCCAACCCCCTGCCAAGCAGGAAACACCATCAGAGCACTCCTGACATATGGTTGTCAAGCCTCTGCTTAAAGACCTCCAAAGAAGGAGACTCCACCACACTCCTGGGCAGCAAATTCCACTGTCGAACAGCTCTTACTGTCAGGAAGTTCTTCCTAATGTTTAGGTGGAATCTTCTTTCTTGTAGTTTGGATCCATTGCTCCGTGTCCGCTTCTCTGGAGCAGCAGAAAACAACCTTTCTCCCTCCTCTATGTGACATCCTTTTATATATTTGAACATGGCTATCATATCACCCCTTAACCTCCTCTTCTCCAGGCTAAACATGCCCAGCTCCCTTAGCCGTTCCTCATAAGGCATCGTTTCCAGGCCTTTGACCATTTTGGTTGCCCTCCTCTGGACACGTTCCAGTTTGTCAGTGTCCTTCTTGAACTGTGGTGCCCAGAACTGGACACAGTACTCCAGGTGAGGTCTGACCAGAGTACAGAGGTCTGACCAGAATACAGTGGCACTATTACTTCCCTTGATCTAGATACTATACTCCTATTGATGCAGCCCAGAATTGCATTGGCTTTTTTAACTGCCACGTCACACTGTTGGCTCATGCCAAGTTTGTGGTCAACCAAGACTCCTAGATCCTTTTCACATGTACTGCTCTCAAGCCAGGTGTCCCCCATCTTGTATTTGTGCCTCTCATTTTTTTTGCCCAAGTGCAATACTTTACATTTCTCCCTGTTAAAATTCATCTTGTTTGTTTTGGCCCAGTTCTCTAATCTGTCAAGGTCGTTTTGAAGTGTGATCCTGTCCTCTGGGGTGTTAGCCACCCCTCCCAATTTGGTGTCATCTGCAAATTTGATCAGGATGCCCTTGAGTCCATCATCCAAGTCGTTGATAAAGATGTTGAATAAGACCGGGCCCAAGACAGAACCCTGTGGCACCCCACTAGTCACTCTTCTCCAGGATGAAGAGGAACCATTGATGAGCACCCTTTGGGTTCGGTCAGTCAGCCAGTTACAAATCCACTGAGTGGTAGCATAGTCAAGACCACATTTTACCAGCTTCTTTACAAGAATATCATGAGGCACCTTGTCAAATGCCTTGCTGAAATCAAGGTAGGCTACATCTACTGCGTTCCCTTCATCTACCAGGCTTGTAATTCTGTCAAAAACGAGATCAGGTTAGTCTGACATGACTTATTTTTCAGAAATCCATGCTGACTATTGGTGATCACAGCATTCCTTTCTAGGTGCTCACAGACTGTTTGCTTAATGATCTGCTCCAGAATCTTCCCTGGTATTGATGTCAGACTGACTGGGCGGTAATTATTTGGGTCCTCTCTTTCCCCCTTTTTGAAAATAGGGACAACATTTGCCCTCCTCCAGTCTGCCGGGACTTCGCCTGTTCTCCAGGAATTCTCAAAGATGACTGCCAGTGGTTCTGAGATCACATCTGCCATGGGATGTGAGGAGACACACACACATATTCATTTTCAATTGTGAAGACAGCCAAAGGGAAAAGACCCTCCTAGGAACAAAGGGGAGAAGGCCAGCAACAACAACTTACTTTGCTCACACTGCTTCCCTGTAAACCCTGTCCTGCATGTGCATTGCCCAGTAATGTGGTCACAATCCGCTCCATTCTGACACTGGCAGACGTTGGCACAGCTTTTCCCATAGAAAGCAGCTGGACATCCTGGGGTGGGGTAGAAAGAAGAAAAGGTAAATAAGTAGAAAAGGGAAGCTTTCAATGTTTAACAGACCATTGTATTTTAATATTTTGTTGGAAGCCGCCCAGAGTGGTTGGGGAAACCCAGCCAGATGGGTGGGGTATAAATAATAAATTATTATTATTATTATTAACCAGGGGACCTGCAAAGCCAAGAATCAAGTCCCCACCTAGCTATGGAGCTCACTGGGCGACCTTGGGTCAGTCACCTTATTTCAGTCTAACCTACTTTGTCGGCTTGTTCTGAGGATAAAAAGGTTGGGTGTGGTGGGGAGAACCTGTGCGCTGCCTTAAGCTGCTTGTAAGTAAAACAACAACAGCTTTAAGAAAAATCAGTTTCAAAATTGCTCAGGTGACTGAAGCTCTATTTTGGTTCCTGCATGCCATGCCCATGATCAAATCACAGGAGGCTTGTTCACAAGTTACAGAGAACACAGGTACAAGCTGCCCCTTGTTTGTGTGCAAGTGTGTGCACGTGTCAATTTGTACAAACTACTGTGTACACAGGCACACAGACTGCACTCTCGTTGCATGTACAAGAGTTGTTGTTCAGCCGTTTAGTCATGTCCGACCCTTCGTGACCCCATGGACCAGAGCACGCCAGGCACTCCTGTCTTCCACTGCCTCCCGCAGTTTGGTCAAACTCATGCTGGTAGCTTCGAGAACACTGTCCAACCATCTCGTCCTCTGTCGTCCCCTTCTCCTTGTGCCCTCCATCTTTCCCACCATCAGGGTCTTTTCCAGGGAGTCTTCTCTTCTCATGAGGTGGCCAAAGTATTGGAGCCTCAGCTTCAGGATCTGTCCTTCCAGTGAGCACTCAGGGCTGATTTCCTTAAGGATGGAGAGGTTTGATCTTCTTGCAGTCCATGGGACTCTCAAGAGTCTCCTCCAGCACCATAATTCAAAAGCATCAATTCTTCGGCGATCAGCCTTCTTTATGTACAAGGGTACAGCTCACCTATTGTCTACACAGACTGCATACTTGTTGAATGTAAAGTCTGAACTCCCCTAATGTGGGAAAAGGGGAAATGCAGGGACGTCTGCGGGTGGCTGCTAGCTGCTCTGCAGCAGAAGAGCCATGATGGAGAAAAGAGCCAACCCCAGAGTATGTAGACTAGAGGAGAACAGCAGCACTGGAATGGTAGCTCAGTGGTAGAGCATCTGCCTTGCATGCAGATGGTCCCAGGATCAAATCCTGGCATCTCCAAGTAAGGCTGGGAAAGACCCCGTCTGAAACTCTGGAAAACCGCTGCCAGTCAGTGTAGACAATATTGAGCTGGATGGACCAATTGTCTCAGTATAAGGCCACTTCCTATGTTCCTATGACTTGTAGGGACAGCATGGGTGGAGAAGGACCCAGAAGGAAATCGATATGTTTTCTTTAATTGTGTGAGTCAGCCTTGTAAAGATGTTGAAGTGTGACTCTTACACAGTGACATAGGACCATTGGTCTATCTAGCTCAGTATTGCCTGCACTGACTGGCAGCAGTTGTTCTCCAGGGCTTCAGGCAGGGGACATTCCCAGCTTTACCTTGAGATGCCACTGGGACCTTCTACATGCAAAGCAGATGCTTCACCGCTGATCAACAGCCCTTCCCCAATTTCAACTATTTAATTTAGAACGCCTGGCTGCTAATGATGCAGAAGTTTGCATTTAAAAAGTCTCCTAATTCCAAATGTTCAGGTTCTAAAAACTGCAGTTCCCCTGGAAGGACACAGGTAAATGATCTCCTAATTTCAAAATAAATCTGGTGGTCTTGTTTGGCTTTGTCTCAGAACAAATTAAGTGCACTGCAGAAATGTTGACGTGTCTGCCTTGGAAGTAAGTGCTGGGGAATTAAGATGTTATGTACACAAATAGATAAATCAAGTTTTACTCCGTTTTTTCTCTTTTGGTTAACATCTCTTTTTACTAGGAACATTTGTTTCTTTGCTTTGTTTTTTGGCAGAGATTAAGTGTGCATTAGCAACCCCCCCAAAGGATGCAATGCAGGAAGCTACCGCAAGGGGGCAGTGCATACTTTTTAAAAACAGACACATTCCCACTAAACACCACCACCACCACCACCACCATCATTTAAAGCTGTAAATCTTACGTTGTGTACAGTAGGGACCCGTCCAGCCAGGGGTGCACCTGCATTCTCCATCGTGAGGGCTGCATACTGCACCATTATGACAACTGCAAGAATGAAAACAGTCTGCACCCCAAAAGCCAACAGGGCATGCTGGAGAGAAAGAAAGAGAGAGATAAAACAATTATACAATATTTCCATATATCTATGTTTTTGAAAGGCCAGCCACTTCGGCTGCATTCACATAGCAGTTTACTCCATTCCCCCCAATGTTTCCCTAACTGTTAATTTCTGTTCTATATTTAAACTTTCACACAATACAGTGGTACCTCAGGTTAAGTACTTAATTCGTTCCGGAGGTCTGTACTTAACCTGAAACTGTTCTTAACCTGAAGCACCACTTTAGCTAATGGGGCCTCCTGCTGCTGCCGTGCCGCCGGAGCCTGATTTCTGTTCTTATCCTGAAGCAAAGTTCTTAACCTGAAGCACTATTTCTGGGTTAGCGGGGTGTGTAACCTGAAGCGTATGTAACCCGAGGTACCACTGTATAAAACCCATTTCTAGAAAACAAATGGAATATAGCGCATGCTCAGTGCTCCTTTCCATGTTATTTGATTCTAGAAAAAATCCCGTTTGCCGCCTTCCCTTTACCTGGAAAATCGTGGGAGTAAAGCGACAAAATTTGGGGAGGCATATTGGCACACAGTTCTTTCCTGCTGTTTTCATAGGGCAGGGGTCTGCAACCTTTAAGACAAAAAGAGCCACTTGGACCCGTTTCCGAAGAAAAAAAAACTGGGAGCCGCAAAACTCATCATTATAAAAATAACTTTTTTGTCACTTTTATTATTATTTCTTTGTTTGACCCCTCAGAATTACTCCTCCTCATAGAAATAAACGTTAAATTAGCAAGTTACCTTTTTTTGTGTGTGTGTTCTTCACTCCCCTTCAAAACAGTGACCAGCGTACATGCCCCTTACAATGTAGCGGGCGGGCGGGTGGGAAGGTGACGTCGGGATGGTGCGTGAGTAACGCACGCACCGCCCCCATGCGACGTCACAGCCAGTACAGCGCCCGCCACAGTGGGGAGTGTCGGGGCGCACAATGCGCCTCCTCCCCTCGCTAGTATCCGCCCCGGAGCCGCGGCAAAGGTGTAAAAGAGCCACATGCGGCTCCGGAGCCGCAGGTTGCAGACCCCTGTCATAGGGGAATCATGGGGGAAGAGAGGCGAGCTGTGCAGAAAGGGTAGGGTGTGAGTGAAATTTAGCAGGGCATACCAGTATATTGGCCAAAAAGGCCATGGTTTCATAATGCAACAGGGTGAAAGGAACATTAGAAAAGCAGAGTAGAAGTGCTAGCATCGTAATTGGGAAAACTGATGCAACACTTCACACATCCGAATACACCTGTCACCAGATATCCAAAATGGAATTGCATATTGCACAGAGTTGAATGGGGAGCTCTGAGTGTGCACTCATCATCATCATTTTTAATTTGTATACCGCCTTTCTATCTTACAGTACTCAAGGCGGTTTACAAGCTGAAGAAACAAAAAATGTACATCTTATAACAATCTAATGCAATACAAAAATGTGATAACAGTACATGACTTTAAAATAGGCAACCTCCATCAAAAAAGTAACATTCAACAATCATTAGGAATAGTATAAAATAATAATATCAACATATAAAAGTTAAACAGAAATCCACTCAACAGTTACAATAATATCTAAACTATAATCAATAAAACAACGGCAAGCAGTACATAAAACAATACAATACCCATTGAGAAGCAGAGGGTAGAGCAAGGCAGGTGGAAGGAGGCCTTGCCTGATGGAGTCTCTCCCCTCACACCCGCATAGAACAAGGAGGTGATGGGGGCATGATGCCTAGTGGTATGCCAACATTTCTCCTCAAACTTCTCAAAAGTCTCCCCCCCGCCGGTGAAAAAATGATTCAGTGTTTTTCTGCTTCATTCTCGGGGTGTTTTAGCATACTGGTGAGAACAGAGTGTGTTGAGCTTCCCTTACTGTCCCACAAACTCCAGCGGGTGCAGAATGCTGCAGCGAGGCTCCTCACAGGGTCTCTGCCATGGGAGCATATTCACCAGTTGCACTGGCTGGTGCAGTATAGGGTCAGGTTCAAGGTGCTGGTTTTTACCTTTAAACCCCTTTGTGACTTAGGGCCCTTGTATTTACGGGACTGCCTCTCCTGGTATGCCCCACAGAGGACCTTAAGGTCCATGAATAACCATATTTTAGAGGTCCCAGGCCCTAAGGAAGTCCTTTACACTGAAATGAATGGAGTGGAAAGACATAATGGCAATGTAAATTACACAATAAGTTTTGCAATTTCGCCATAGCGGATGGTGACCCAAATAATGCCATTTCTGGTAGAAGATGAACTGCAGTGGACTGGAAACAGCGCTGCTTGTGAGAGAGCAGAATGGAGAACGGTGCTTCCTTACTTCCCTGTTCACAAACACCCTCGGCAAAATTACGGGTAGGCACATCACAGACCCTGCACCCCACCCATGAGAATAAACCAGATATCCTTTCGCCTTTGATCCTTATTCTTGAATTGAATTTCTTTTCTCATTAATTAATGGAGGATGTTTACAAAAAAGGAAAGGAAGGAAAGAGGCAGGAGAAATGTTCACCGCTGCGCTCTTCTGGAAATTTAAGTAAATACGCAAGGAATCCAGCAAGAATTGTGGCTTTTGTTGAAGGCAGTTGTCATGTGTAGCCACAATCACTTTTTAAGGGGAAAAAAGAGAAAAAGAAAATGTGCGCCCATCACCTGAAGTCAAGCAGAAGTGAACAGCAGTTTCCCAATTACTTTCTAAATATAATGAACTATATTTGAAATTGACAGGCTTCCTAATTTCTGTTTTGAGTGACAGAAATATTTGGCCTGCGGAAGAAGCACAATAAAAGCAAAATTACAGCTGTCTGTTTTTATCCGATCCCTCCTTTATCACTGGAGGTTTAATATGTTTTACTGCAAGTGCTGTCTAATACCTTCATTGCACTGTGAATATGAAGTAACATTTCTGAACGACAGGCTGGGTCTTCCCAGAGATGATCCGCCTCCAATTAAGGATTCATTAGGGAAATGCCAGTTTTTGGATCCTCAAATGTCAATCTTCTACCTAGGCAATTTCAGAGAAGTCACCACACGTCCCTCCAGAAAGCACTGATTTTAACAACTAAATTATGTGTAATAGGAATATCTCATCTCTCTAATTTTCTCAGCCATATGGACCTTGCAACACAGAATTGTTGATCACTTAATGATTTCTAAAAGAAAGTGTTGAAAAGAATGAACAGACCTTCCTTTAGCACAGCCTTCGCCAACTCAGTGCCCTCCAGATCAAAACATCTGGAGGGTTCCAGGTTGGCAAAGCCTGCTCTAACCATACAAATGGGTGCATTTGCTTTGCAGTTCAGTACAAATTCACCTATGCAAACAAACAAGAATACTAAGTAGAAAACCTTGTAGCAAGGTTGGTTCAGGGACAGAGTTCCTAGTAGATAGGTTTGTGCATAAGTGTTTTTTAAATCTTTGTTGTTGAATTTACTATTCTGAACTAGGGCTGCTTCCTTACCTGGGCTATCCTGGAGGTTTCATTTTGATTTGATTAATGGCTATTAACTGGACAAAGAGCCATCCTTTACTATTTGAGACTTTACACAGAATGAACCATGTTTTCCCAAACCAATGACAGAGATGCAAAGAGACAAGGATAAAGGGTTTCACTGTGACAGCTGAGAACTGGTGTTAGCCCTAAATGGTGCTGGCTTATCTAAAGGACACTCAGCTTTGTCTGTACAAACCTGGTCTACTTATAAGATCAGATATAGACTGCCCACAAATATGGTACATTAGATTTGTGAACACAAGGAATAGGGCCTTCTTGATGGTGGCTCCACATTTGTGGACCTCCCTTCTCACACCTATGAAAGGCCCCTTCAATACAGGCACTTCTTGAAGGCTCATTTGTTCCAATCTGCCTTTCTTCAACAATGGTGTTTTTTTTTTATGTCACTGATTACACGAGACTCTTTATGCTTCTGGATTCTTCCCCTCCCCCTTTTTGCCCCATTCAAATATTTTATTATCTCACCTTTCCTTCCTG